TGATCCAGTTCAACTTAATACATGTGGTCATCGATTATGTCAATCTTGTTTTGCTACTCTTAATCAGTAAGTTTCATTATTCATAAGATTTATTTTCATCAAATTTTATCATTCAAAGAACTATAATCAAATGTCCTCAATGTGACATAGAAACTCCACAAGATCAAGTAAGATATCACTTTTTTCAATTCAATGGAATATCTAATATGAATTGTTTTTTAGGTAATGCTTGATCGAGGTTTCAAAAATGACATGCAATCTTTACCTATCATTTGTTCACATTGTAATTGGACTGATATCTTAAAAAATTATCAAGTAATATCAATTAATAACATTTCATTTATTCATTTTCTATATTTATCTTTTAAAAGGAACATCTTGATCAATATCATCGAAATCCAATATGTAATTATTGTGATGAACAATTCAATTCAGTTAATCAACTCAATCAACATAAAGCATTTCAATGTCAAAAGATTACTCTTCAATGTTTATTAAATAACTTTGGTTGTCATCAACAGGTTTATATTTTCTATAAAAAATAGATTTTTAATATATTTCACATTTTATCTTATCTTATCATATTTAGATTCTTCGTTGTGAACTAATAAATCATTATCAAAGTAAACAACATCAAGATTCAATACTAAATGTTATTCAACAAATGAAATTACAATTAAGAGATTCTCAAATGATATCTAATCAAATGAATATTGATACTTCTCGAACAACTACAATTATAGATAATGATTTTGCTATAAATCAATTGGAAGAACTTCATGAAGCTATTAGTATTTTAGCAAGTGGTACAGAAACATTGAATAGAGATGTACAACGTCTAAATAGTGAAATAGTTGAATATGAAAATAAGTTACAACATTTAATAGAAACTGTTTCAAATGTGAAATCATCTGTTGAAGAGGAACATGGTTATTATGAAGCAATTACACGAAATCTAGAACTTTTAAATCAAGATTTATTGTCATTAGAAGAAAAGATTGATGATATTCAATATATATCTTATGATGGAACATTTGTATGGAAAATTCCAAAAGTTCAAGAGAAATTAGGTATGTAGAACATTTTCTCTCACTCAATTGAAGGTGTTCTGTGTCATAAAAGTGTAATCACACTTTAAGGGTATCAACATGTAATAAAAGAAAGAATGAATTCCCTTTTATATATAATTGAGTAGGGGTAAAAAACATGAAGAGTGTCATTAACACAAGATCGGTTGCTATAATAGATGAATCATTTTTGATATTGAACTTTGAAACTTAATACCTTTCTCTTAATCATTTGTTTGTAACTATTGATTTTGTTTGATTTCTAGCTGATGCTCAATCAGAACGTCAAACATCAATTTATTCACCTCCATTTTATTCATCACCGATTGGTTATAAAATGCGAGTTCGACTTTATCTAAATGGTGATGGTAATGCTCGACGTACACATATGTCATTGTTTTTTGTTTTGATGCGTGGGCGAAATGATCCAATATTAAAATTTCCTTTCAATTATAAAGTTACATTTTGTTTGTATGATCAAACTTCTCAAGAACGACATATTATCGATTCTTTTCGACCAGATATTCGATCAAATAGTTTT